ATCGAGTAGATTCTGACTCACAGCGACCCCCATTGGGTTTCCAAGGTTGTAAATCTTTATGGAAGTAAATTGCCTCATCTTCCTTCCATGGAGCAGCTGGTGGGTTTGAACCACTGACCTAGTGGTTAGCACCCAAATGCCTTACCCACTACGCCAGCAGAGCTCCTTGCAGGTACTATTTATTAAGTATTGTGTATATTCAAAAACATACATAAAAGTACAAATTAAAGGATATTTTTATTTTCTTTCTACAACTCATCTTGCCCACCTGGTTAGAGACCCCTGGTGGGCACATTGCTCTAATAAGGTCAAAATCATGGCTTTTATTCCTGAGTCCTTGAGTGGCAAAAACGGTTAAGTGCTTGACTACTAGCCGAAAGGTTGCTGGTTTGAACCAAGGCAGAAGTTTCTTGGAAGATTAGGCCTGGTAATCTGTTTCTGAAAGGTCAGAGCCTTGAAAACCCTATGAAGCAGTTCTACTCTGCACACATGGGGTCACCATCAGAAAGAATTGACACCATGGCAACTAACAACAGGATCTTTGATCTGTTCCAGATAATAACTTTGAATATAATCTCAACAGTCTAAACATGTGGGAATACTGAATGAGAGCAAATGTGCAATTCCCCAAACCCACCAAAATATCCTTGGGAAAAAAAGGACACAAAACACATGGATAACCAAGGGGAAGTCGGTAACCTGTGGGCCCAAGCAGAAGGAGCTGACATGTGGGATCTTGTCCTCACCTGAGATTCATCCCAGCCAGTAAGGTAGATGTTGTAGCTGAGGAAACCAGCATTGTCCCTTTCCTGCATCTGAGTCTCCAGTAGCTGCAGCAGGTCTGCAAACCACTCAAAGGCATGCGTGTCACGACACAGCCAGTAGAAGTAGATCTGAAAGAGGGATGGGTCATGAAGCAGCTTGGATTTGAACAGGTATATTAGCATTGACAAATGAATTCCTCACTCCCACCCTCACAACATTTTCCTGCTGCCTAAACCAAAACCAAATCCAAATCCAAATCCACCAACATTGAATTGATTGCAACTCATAGGGACATTGTAGAATTGCCTCAGAGTTTCTAAGACTGTGAATCTGTACTGAAGAAGACTGCCATATCTTTCTCCCAAGGAGTGGCTGGTGGGCTCAAACCAATGATCTTCTAGTTAGCAGCAGAGTGCTTAATCACTGTACCACCAAGGCTCCATTCCTGCTGTCTAGAATGCCTAGAAATGCTACCTCACATGGATCTGTCTTCTCCAGCCTTCACACAGGTAGGACAGTAAACGTATAGCTTGGACTTGGAAATTGATAGCTTAAAAAAACATCATTCATTCCATCTATTTTTCCTCTGGGTCTGCTTTTGTTTGCGTAGAATCCCTGGCTTTCTTTGTATCTCCTCTCAGAAAGGTCAGGGCAATGAAATCTAGGTCACTAGTGGCTCTCAGAAGATTCCTTCCTCGACTGCCACTGTTGAACATGTAAGAGTTGCTAGGAAAAAATTAAAAAGTTCTATTCTCCCCTCCGCCACATAGAAGAGAGATGAAAGGGGAGAATGAAAACTCAAGTCAGGCTCAATGTCCCTATTTTTCTTATCTTCCTCAGAAACCCAAAGAGGGATCTCTATGAGTTGGATCTGACTAGATGTCAGTGGGTTTGGTTATAGTTATTAGAATGACTCGAGGCTTATTAAAGATGCCCTTGATTAGGCAATGAAATAAAATTGACATAGGACAAAAAAATCCTCTTGGAATTTAACATATCCTGAGGATATAGGCATAAGAAAGTAAGAGTTTCATGATAGGACATGTCTCCCATCCCCTTCCCCCTGCAAAGTATATTGGGGAGTTCTAAGTTGAATAAATCTCAGTATCTAACATATAATGATAAAAAAATCATTTTATATCCTCTCAATGGAAATGATGAATCATTAAAAATGATCATCATG